TTTTTTTTTTTTCCTTTTTTTTTTTTTAAGCTGTAAAGAGTGGGCAGATGTTTAATTTGTCTGGAAAATAATGCAATACAATTATGGTTCTAAAAATCTGCTTCCTTTTTTATTGCTGCAAAATATAATTTCTTAATTCTTTATTTTGATTATGGGTAAAATAGTGATCTGTGAATATTGACAGATTCCTGAGATTCACCGAACTATAGCCAAACTAATCTTGCCACACACCCACCAAGTCAGCTGTCACTCAAAGTTTTGATTGTCTTTCCCATATTCTAATTAAATGATCATTTCTGGACTGGTGTCCGATGGTCCATAGGGGGCAGTGTTTGCCATTACACTGAGCTCTTGTTCAGAGAGTCTCATCATACAGATTCTCAGAGCCATTTGATGGCTGTTCTGGTGGTCTGTTGGTAGCAATTGGCCACCAGAGTCCAATTTCTCCTCCTCTAGGATTTTGCAGGTAGTTTTCTGTTGTTTAAAGAGATTATTATTTGTGTTGTTGTGATATTTTGATGCACACACAATTCAATATCTTGAATTCCTGATCTGAAGTGTTCCTGAGAAAAGGGGTTGTCACTTTGTTCTACAGCTTTGAACTCGGCCAGATTGTGTATAGATTTTTTTTTTTTATGCAAAAGAATCAGACCAAAAAAAAAGGAAAAGAAAAGATCAGTTTTAATGTTATCAAAAAGTAAAAAAATAAATTAAAAAAGACAGGGGAAAAAAGAAGAAACTTTACTAAAGATGGGAACTTTACACAAGTAGACATTTAGCGAAGGCTAGTTTTCCAGGCCATAAATGTGGTGTTCCTCAAAGCTCTGTCCTCGGACCATCATTGGTTGTGTAATCTGTAACTGTGGAGAGGGCATTATGTATGCACAAGTTAATTATTTGAAAATGCATTAAACTGGATCACATCAAATTGAATATTGTACCCCAGTGCAGTGATGGACATGTATGGTATGGCACACACTTTCTTTATTTTATGCAGCTCCTATGGTGGTTTAATTTTAGTACTCCCTCTTTTCATCCTTGTCCCCTTAAAAATTAAGATCAAGCTTCACGTTAACATAAAATGACCCCAGTCTAAACCTTACAGTGATTTGCCTTGCGTGACCACATTGAGAGTTATTGGGGGGAGTAAAATATTGTCCCATCCTATTTGTATTAATTGTATATAGAAATGTAATACACAAATTTAGATGCAGTTTGCAGTTCATTTTCCCATCTGATGTTTTGTATGTCTATTTTGGTTGTGCGTCACAATCAAATTAATGGCATCAGTGGAGTCATTGTAATAATAATATTAAGTGCTATTATAGTGATACATGCAACATCCGGCTATATTGAGGGCATTTTGCCTTTTGTTTGCTTCTTACTGAAGACAGGTGCACCCCCAACACAACACACACATATACACATATTCAGACATTTAAGCACTGATTAAAAAAAAAAAAGAAGCATGTTTGATTTGTATTGATCAGTTTGATTGGTAAGTATTGATTATCATTGCCGCAATAATGCCATGCTGGAGGGAGGATGTTTTCAGTGCACTTGAAGTTTGCTGCTTTTCTTTATTTTGTCTTGATTTCTTGCATGCTGCTGTTTTTGTTTTGTCTTTGAGTTCTTTTCTCTCCTTCCCCACTTTGTATAGACAGACAGTTGTGCTAAGTGTGATGGGTAGATAATGCTGGTGTGTTCTCCTGCGGTGAATGCTTGTCAGGCAGGCAGTAATACAGTACATTACTGTAGGTGCTGATTCAGACTTTATGATGTCATCTCAGAAAGGGTGACTTTTAATGACATTTAATGCAAAATGTAACATATGTGAATAAAATACACCGATGCTCTGATATGCCTTTGTGTGTTTTTTGTTCTGTCCCCCCCCCCTACCCCCCCTTGTTTTTCTAAACATTTAATCCAGAAATGTTTTTACATTTGTGCAATCCACATATTGAAATAAAAATGTGCTCTCTCCAGCTGGTTATGCTAACATGTTTATTAAGATATTAAATATAATGTATTTATTTAGTTAGTAACACTTTAGATTAGGGGACACTTATAGAAAGGGTGACTTTTAATGACATTTAATGCAAAATGTAACATATGTGAATAAAATACACCGATGCTCTGATATGCCTTTGTGTGTTTTTTGTTCTGTCCCCCCCCCCCACCCCCCTTGTTTTTCTAAACATTTAATCCAGAAATGTTTTTACATTTGTGCAATCCACATATTGAAATAAAAATGTGCTCTCTCCAGCTGGTTATGCTAACATGTTTATTAAGATATTAAAATGTATTTATTTAGTTAGTAACACTTTAGATTAGGGGACACTTATTAGCATGCATATTTGCATGATTGGGTGATTATTAGTACTTATAAAGCACATATTTCAATCCCTTATTCTGCATGATATGTTCTAGATCCCTAATCCGACCCCATAACTAAGCATAACCACTACAAACAACTATCTTACTATTAAGCAAATTATGAGTTTATTGAGGGAAAACTATTATATTTATAGTTAATAGTGAACATGAGTTCACTAATCTAAAGTTTTAGATTATTATTTAGATTATTAAAGTTTAAGATATAGACTATTTATTTATTCATTAGTTCATGCATTGATTGTTTCATTCATTCATTCATACACACCACGGGGGTGGTTAAATATATAAATATGCAATAATTTTCAGGGAAACGCAGAGGAAGTAGTTCCAGGTCTGTCGACCATATTACATGTCCATATCACTTCGCCAAATTATTTCAAGTTCCATACCTTACAGCCTACAGTCGATGAGCCAAAATTCACAAATAAGCAAACGAATGAATGCCAAACAATTTACATGTTTTTCTTTTACTATACATGGATAATAAAATGCTTTCTCCTGCTCTCTCTTTCATGCACACTTCTTGACAGCGCCGCGCTACCCTGCGATCGACTTTATAGATTAAATAGTTTGCAAGAATCGTAACTGAAAAGCTGAGGTGGTAACGTCGCTGTTTTTGATGCAGTTAAACTTACAGATTCGCTATTAGTACAGACGCTCCAGTTTAGAGACGCACGGGTAGGCTAATTCACACGCTTAATGTCCCTCTCATACCTGCATACCAACGGCTCAAGTCTATATGTATGTAGTCAATATGTTTTTAGTTGTGGTAACAGTGATTTAATATAAGAGGAATAATTGACTCTGGTCCATCGAATTATTGAAAAACGCTTCGCGTCGAGGGCGCATTTGCATTATGCCTTATTATTAATATGCCTAGGCTATATATTACCATTCAGAAATGTTTTGTCAATGTAAAGAAATTAATACTTTTATTAAGCGAGAGTACAACAACAGTGTAGGGACACTGTTTATTTATTTATTTTATTTAAACACACAGACACTGGCAGCATGGTGTTTTATTTAAATAAATGGAGCATTTAGGTAGATATAAAAAAATAGGCAAATTTAAACATTATTAATTATAGTTTCAGAGTTCAAGTTGTGGGGATACATATCATGCATTTATTTTAATGTCATTGTCTAAATGTGAGCTGTGTGTCATTTGCAGACGCTGCCATTGAATTTCTCTTGTTATATTGCTTGGTTGTTAAAATTACTAATCTGCGAGTATAGCAGCAGTTCATTTTGCTGATGTCTGGTAACTGACCGCATCATATTGAGTCTTGTCTTTTCTCATGAGGGTTCTTTGTGGCCACTAGAGGCTCAGTTTATCTAGGCCGAGAGAGAACATCATGACCCTTTCTGTACCAATTAGTTACAGCAGATCATATGAATTCTGCAAACGTTAACACAGAACATATCAATCTGTTTTCTGATTTATTGTTTGTTAAAGCCAAACACATTCACAACCGTGCTATAATTGATCAGACAACAGACACAGCATTAGATTCGCTGCATTAGACTCAGCGGTTGCTAAACGAGTGCACCATTCATCTGTCTAATGGCTCAATCTTCAATGATGTTGTGCTGCGGCCCAGAAACCAAACCCTGTAAACATGTTTGTGCGCTGAATGGAAAGTGGGTTGGCAACACAATAGCTGCCTGGATGACACACTGACCAATACACCGCCTACATTGTGCATGACGTCGTAGCGTATTAGCTTAGCAAACAAATTTCTGTTTATGCAGGTTTTATCTGCTGTGAATATTTTGAATGCCGCATGCATTCCAGCAACTACCGTAGGTATTATCATCATCTGAAATAGGTTGTTATTTGTTATTTTTAAGGACCATTAAGTTTTGCATTTTGACCCCAAAGTCCGTCTTCAAAAATTCTGCATTGCATTTAAAATGATTGCCTTTTGTATGATTTAACCCATCATCCAGCTGTTTGTAAGTGTTAAATTGCACCCGTGCTTGTGCTAGGACTGGTCGTGTGTGCACACTGCTTCCTCTCTGAAGCGCTCACACAGGAACTTATCAAATTCTAGTGAATTATTAACCTCAGGACAGCTAGGAAGGTTTGAAAATCACTTTGGATATGTCAGAAACCGGCTATGGCAGGTAGGTCTTCTCTAAATGTTTGTTTTAACTGGTTGAAAAAAGAAATTAGAATGTCAAAATAGCCATTAGTGCAGTACAAGGCCACAAAGAAACACCGGTGGACATGATTACAGGTGATGTGCTGAGTGATCCTGGGCGCTGCGATAGGTTATTTGATAATCCACAGAACAGCATCTACACCGCTTGAGTATAGTGTACGCTTACCATCAGATTGAACAGCTCTGTTATTTTTAGTATGATTCTTTAATATTCTTACAGGAAATGCCAATGGAAGAACCAATGCGGTCCAAAGCAGGTAAGAAACATCTTCTCGAGCATTTTAGAGAAATCATTTTTTAATTGATTTCAAGACAACTTAAATGGAAAAGTGAGTTTCATTTAGTTTATTAGGATATATAAATATTATTTATTGGGAAATGTAAATCATATTCAAGCATAAAAAAGTATCTGGACACTTTATTGACATGAAGGGTCATATATATAAAGTCAGTTCCCCTTAACCACACTGAGACATTTGTAGGTGTCCAAATATTTTTTGGGGGGCCACTGTATTTTTTTAGCAGCATCACGACATATTCCCAAACTGACATGTTCTTTGGTTAAAATACATTCTTTCTCCTATATTGGCTCAGCCTGACAAAATTTAGTTTAATCTCATATTGATTTAAATAGAAATGGCTCTTAACTGACACGATGCATATGATTTGATCTGTGTGTCAAGGGCTGTATTGATAATGAGTGTTTTTAGGAGTGTAATGCACGGTCTAATGAGTGTATATCCAATTAAAGCTCATGATAAATGTGTGTGTGTGTAGTTTCTCAGGGTGTTAACTAACCCTGAGGTGTGTGTGTGTGTGTGTGTTTTACTCTGTGCCCAGAGGGCTGGATAACTCTGAGGAGATACAGAGGACAGAGTTTTATCATCTCCATGGCAGGATATGGTGAGAGAGAGAGAGAGAGATGTGATGTTTCTTCACTGTGGTGATGTTGAATATGCATCACACACCGCTGAAGAACATGCATCTCTGCACTGCAGACTCAGAAACATGCATGTCAGTGGTTGCATCCAATTCGCTGCTTTGCTTTGGCATCTAATCATGTCTAGCTAGCGTCATCCAAAAAAATCAAGCGATGCTTTCTTGCACTAATTTTGATCCTGGATTTAGTCCTAATTAAAGAGTACCATGCTAAAGTAATTATACAATTAGCAGCTTAAGTTTCTAGTGATATTTGTCTGGTCTTGAGTGATAGAGTTTCGCATACTGCAAACACAAAGAAAGAATTGTATTTACTTATGTATTTATTGTTTTTATATTTTGTTTTTTTTATAGTAATATATATTTATATATGATTTATTATTGGCTAAAGCTACTCAAAGTATCAAGCAAGTATTCAGCCAGTGAAATCAAAGGAATTTCAACCATTAAAATGTATTAATTTAGACATTTATTCCATTACATTTTACATTTCTATTTCAAATAAACAATGTTCTTGTGAAATATATAATTATCAAACAATCCTAAAAAAAAAAAACTAAAATATTAAACAATTGTTTCCAACATTGATAATAATCAGAAATGTTTCTCGAGCAGCAAATCAGCATATTAGAAGGATTTCTGAAGGATCATGTGACACTGAAGACTGGAGGAATGATGCTGAAAATTCAGCTTTACATCACAGGAATAAATTACATTTTAAAACATATTACAGTAGAAAACAGTTATTTTCAATTGAAATAATATTTCACAATATTACTGTTCTTACTGTGTTTGTGAACAAATAAATGCATATCAATGCTGAGCCTAAGAAACTACTTTAAAAAAACAAAACGACCTTAAAGTTTTGAACAGTAGTGTAGCTACACCAGTTGTAATTCTATGTTTACTGTAGGCATTGTAGTTGTATTCTAAGGGCTCGTTCACACCAACTTCATAGCCAGTAAAGTTGTGATGGCTCATGTGCGCTTTTGCTCTCAGTTAGTGCGGATCGATCTGTCAGAGGTCATACAGAAATTGAGGTCATGCTTGTAAATCCAGCGTTTACTGGTGGACGGCGCAGTCTGTCACATTCCCGTAACAGGATTAGAGTGGATAGGACTGTGCACCTTTGCCCTGAATGAAGTCAGGCCTGCGTGTGAGAGGGGAGCTTGGAAAATGAGATTATGTTGTAAGACCCTTCTTTCTCTCTGCCTGTGCTGCCAACTCTCATTTCACTCACACGCTCACCTGGCCAGTTCTGCCACGCTTCTCTAGAAACCATCACTGTCTGTTCATTTCTCGGTGTTGTGTTGTTGTTGTGTTGCGGTGATAATGTAAACCCATCAGCCTCTGTGTGTGGTGTCTGCTTTCCTCTGCCACAGGCCCCACACTGAGAGAGAGCGTCAGGCCGTTGTCATGTGGTTGCTAAGGTGTTCTTAGTGAGTGTTTTTAGTGTACTAGTTATGCAGTTGCTAGGGAATCCTAGCTGGTTCCTATGGTATTCTAGAAGAGTAACAAACTTTTGGCTATTTTGAATATATCTTTAAACTAAACTAAAATGTATTGCGGGAAGTTAACCTTGTAAATAATTGTAATTTTAATTTAATTTTATTTTATTGTAATGGAATAGTTTATTGAACCTTTCAGAAATCAGAACATTTGCATATTTGCTTTTTCATATTTTATACATCAGGTTTTTTTTTATGGCACATGCAATTTTTTTTCACTTGTTTGCACGCATGAAGTATCAGTAACCTAAATTGATATTTTAATATATTAAATGTTTTGATAGTGTATGACAAGCCCCACTCACCCAGGTGTTTTGAGCAGTAGGATTATATAAAATATATATTAAATAAAATTATTAAAAAAGAAAAGTATATTAAAAATTCAAATACAAAATAAACGTTTATTGATTGGTACTTTTACTTTTAATACTGAAGTACATTAAAAATGAAATACTTTTGTACTTTTACTCAAGTAAAGTGAAAAGGAGTACTTAATACTTTTACTGGAGTCATATTTTATTAGATTATCAAGTACTTGATTTGTGTACTTCGTCCACCGCTGCACATACAGTATGGTATGATACAGTGAGAATATGGGGCTCATACTGAAAGAGGAAAAAAGAAACGTCAGTTTCATTCAGAAGCAAAAATATGAAATTTGGTGCAGCAGTTGTTATTCAAATGGCCAAAATGTAAGAGGAAATTCTGATAGCTTGTAATGTAAACCAATGAGGTCTGTATAACAGTATGACAGACTACTTACATAAAATTATATAAATATCAGTTATCACTCTATATCTCGAATAAAGTCTGGGGAAGATGATATTTAAATGCTTAGTTTTATCATCAATGCAGAGCAATACAATGATTATTGAGAGATATGTGATACTCACATTTGAACAAGATTTTTCTAAGAATGATGTATGAGTAATCAAGTAAAAAAAAACATTTATCTTGAAATATTACTACTAATAAAAAAAGTACCTCTTATGTTTACTTTATAAAAATCATAAAAAAATTCACAAAAACACAAGTGAATTATACTAAATAGGCCTTGAACTTGCTTAAAAAGTATAAACTATCAGACGACAGAAAGCAAATTACTACAGGTCTTTTGTTTTCATTAAATTTGCACATCAACTATTATACAGTACACTCTAAAAAAATGCTGGGTTAAATATAACCCAGCACTGGGTTAAAAAGGGACAAACCCAGCTATTGGGCTGTTTTGACCCAGAGGTTGGGCTGTTTTGACCCAGCGGTTGGGCTGTTTTGTACCAGCGGTTGGGCTGTTTTGACCCAGCGGTTGGGTTGTTTTGACTCAGCGGTTGGGCTGTTTTGTCCCAGCGGTTGGGCTGTTTTGACCCAGCGGTTGGGCTGTTTTGACGCAGCGGTTGGGCTGTTTTGACCCAGCGGTTGGGCTGTTTTGACGCAGCGGTTGGGCTGTTTTGACCCAGCGGTTGGGCTGTTTTGACGCAGCGGTTGGGCTGTTTTGACCCAGCGGTTGGGCTGTTTTGACGCAGCGGTTGGGCTGTTTTGACCCAGCGGTTGGGCTGTTTTGACGCAGCGGTTGGGCTGTTTTGACCCAGCGGTTGGGCTGTTTTGACGCAGCGGTTGGGCTGTTTTGACCCAGCGGTTGGGCTGTTTTGACGCAGCGGTTGGGCTGTTTTGACCCAGCGGTTGGGCTGTTTTGACGCAGCGGTTGGGCTGTTTTGACCCAGCGGTTGGGCTGTTTTGACGCAGCGGTTGGGCTGTTTTGACCCAGCGGTTGGGCTGTTTTGACGCAGCGGTTGGGCTGTTTTGACCCAGCGGTTGGGCTGTTTTGACGCAGCGGTTGGGCTGTTTTGACCCAGCGGTTGGGCTGTTTTGACGCAGCGGTTGGGCTGTTTTGACCCAGCGGTTGGGCTGTTTTGACGCAGCGGTTGGGCTGTTTTGACCCAGCGGTTGGGCTGTTTTGACGCAGCGGTTGGGCTGTTTTGACCCAGCGGTTGGGCTGTTTTGACGCAGCGGTTGGGCTGTTTTGACCCAGCGGTTGGGCTGTTTTGACGCAGCGGTTGGGCTGTTTTGACCCAGCGGTTGGGCTGTTTTGACGCAGCGGTTGGGCTGTTTTGACCCAGCGGTTGGGCTGTTTTGACGCAGCGGTTGGGCTGTTTTGACCCAGCGGTTGGGCTGTTTTGACGCAGCGGTTGGGCTGTTTTGACCCAGCGGTTGGGCTGTTTTGACGCAGCGGTTGGGCTGTTTTGACCCAGCGGTTGGGCTGTTTTGACGCAGCGGTTGGGCTGTTTTGACCCAGCGGTTGGGCTGTTTTGACGCAGCGGTTGGGCTGTTTTGACCCAGCGGTTGGGCTGTTTTGACGCAGCGGTTGGGCTGTTTTGACCCAGCGGTTGGGCTGTTTTGACGCAGCGGTTGGGCTGTTTTGACCCAGCGGTTGGGCTGTTTTGACGCAGCGGTTGGGCTGTTTTGACCCAGCGGTTGGGCTGTTTTGACGCAGCGGTTGGGCTGTTTTGACCCAGCGGTTGGGCTGTTTTGACGCAGCGGTTGGGCTGTTTTGACCCAGCGGTTGGGTTGTTTTGAATCCAACCGCTGGGTCAAAACAACCCAATAGCTGGGTTTGTCCCTTATTAACCCGGCATTTTTTAGAGTGTAGGCTTTATATAATACATTGACTTTTTAGGCTGTGTATTGTGAATACAGAATATGATCTGTGTGTATTTGGACAGATGTTGAACTGACACGTGCTCTAGCAGAGAATGGGAGGCAGCTATTGTACTTGGCTGTTGTTTTCACTCAGGTCCTGCTTCACTGGTCTCCTGTTCCCATGAGAATATGAACCATGGCTACACAGTCTGTGTTTATGACTGCAGAGATGTCGTGTCGTAGCATTACCACTTCAGGCTAACACACAAAGAGCTTGCATTTTTACTGAATCTAACATCTCTTTCTATTTGTACATTTAAACACGTTTATGTTTGTGTTTTCTGTGCCTATGAAGGTTTAATTTCTGTTTGTATATTTCTGGACCTGTCTGAGGGAACTTTATATTAACAGTGACATGGTTATTTATTCTGTCTCATAGTTGATGGCATTCAGCTCATGCTAGTTATTAACAATCTTCTGTGAATGTAATTGCTTCATATCAAAACGTTATGGGAGTTGTTCGAGTCACATGACAAACACAATTCATAAACGGTTTCCTCCTCCTTCCTGTGTGCGCTACCTATTAGTGTTTGCATAACTCAATGTCTTCCATATAAAGCTCTTTTATGACTAGTTCCATCTGGCTAATGAATATTTAAAACAAGATCATATTACACATTACAACCTGATGAATAATTCAGAGAGGCTGATTAGAATGATTTAGGCTTGTAACATTGACAAACCCTCACATATATTTCAGCAACTTGTTAGGAAGGTCTATCAAATTGAGGTATGTTCTTTGTTGTTTTTATTATTTCT